ATATATATATGTGTATGTATTTGTATTGATAAACCTGAGTGGTCTGTTGACTGACCATTGTATTTCAAATAATTGTTATGGGCAGGTTACAATATAAAAATGTTTGTCATGATCATGTCTTGTCATTTGACAGAAGTTTTACTTTTATACTGTAAGTGTGTTTAATTTAGTTATGTTAGTTATGATAATTTATCTATGAAGTAAATACAATAAAAATTAAACCAAGTTTTAGAAAAATTATCATTTTGATCCTTACTTTGGTAATGTCTGACTGGGCCTCGTGCCACTTTATGTTCAACAAATTGGGCCCCGAGGTCAAAAAGGTTAAGAACCCCCGGTTTATATGATCCATCACACCTGCACATGATACAATTCATGTCACATTCCAGCCGGACATATAGAAGAGTATGAAGATGATGCAGCTGAAAAAGGTCCCCTATCCCAATGTTTTAAATATTAATATTTTTAACTTAAGATTATACTCATTATGGCCTCGTAATATAGTGTTTAGAAATTGGATGCCTGAATAATTGTGCAGAAAACTAAGTTAGTTCCCAGTTTAAAACTTTATTATTCAGCTTTAAAAACACAGCTCATGCTCAGAGTCACTGTCTGTGTGTGACCCTGAGCCTAATCAGCACCAAACAAAAACAAAATGGCTTCTCTCTACTCCTCCTGCTGGTTACACTAAAGTCTCTAAAGTGTCACCTCCCAATAAATTTAATTTTGGAAATTCTAACCACTCCCTTTAACTCAATATTTTTATTATTAATACTTAAGTAAATTTTATATCAGAAAATTACTTTTGATACTTAAGTACAAAAAATGTCAGACACTTTAAAACTTTTACTCAAGTACTATTCTTAGAGGGGACTAACTTTCGACAAAGTAATTTTATGGTAAGATACTTGTACTAAGTATTAAGTTTCACTTTGAGGTATTTAATACAACACTGGATTTTAATTACTTGTGAACATGAGTTGAGACATCAAGTAGTTCAGCAGGATAGATGACACAATGGCAATAGGTTTTATAGAATGCGTTGCACACAAGTGGCCTTTATGTGTTAGAATAAATGTTCAATTCAGGTTTACGTACTTCTCTTGTGTTAGTCATTCTCATACAAGAGATTACCTGATGAAAATATGTAAAAAAAATATGGCGTCATATAACTATTAGTTTATGCTGAACCTTCTGCACAACACATTGTCTGTATTTCAGCCATGCTGGGTTTTCAGTGAAATTTGCCTCATCTCACAGAGTAGCTAAGGTCAGTGTTCATTTGAATTATCCATCACACTTCTGCGTTTATGAATGTTCAAAAACTGCTCTACGAGGTGTGTATTTTTGAGTTGTGAATTTTCAAATTTTACTAATCCAACATGTCTATGTTGTTTTTATGTTTCAGATTTTACTCATTGGTCTTGCCTGGTGCATCTCATTTCAACCTCCATCATGTCGCTGCTGACTCATGTACTGGCGTGCCTTTTTGGGATGGGTTCCTGGGTGGCCATCAATGGGATGTGGGTGGAGCTCCCCTTAGTTGTACCAGAAATCCCAGAGCATTGGTACCTGCCCTCCTATCTCACAGTCCTTATTCAAATGGCCAACATAGGCCCTTTGCTCATCACCCTGTTGCACCGTTTCTGTCCAGGTACGCTGGACGAAAGACCTGTCATCTACTTTATTGTAGGTTTGGGGATTGTTGTTACATTCCTGCTAGCTTTTTTCTGGAAGCACACAGTGGCAATAGCAGGCTCCCTGCACAGTGTGCCCCTGCTGATTTTAAGTTTTCTGCTATCTGTGGTAGACTGCACATCATCTGTCACATTCCTGCCTTTCATGATGCGCCTACGTCCACAATATCTCACTACGTACTTTATAGGTGAAGGCCTCAGTGGTCTGGTACCTGCACTAGTGGCTTTGATTCAGGGTGTTGGTATAGTCCATTGTCAAAATGTCACCTTGTCTGGAAACTCTTCAGCTGATAATTTTAGTACGTTGGGCAGTGATGAACTACAAGCTGTCTATGAGCCAGCCAAATTCTCTGTCCGGGTTTTCTTTGTCTTCCTCAGTGCCATGATGGTTGTGTGCCTGTTGGCCTTTATCCTTCTCAACCACTACCCAGCTGTGGCTAGGGAGAGAAAAAGTGACCAGTACTTTAGTAGGGATCTGGAAAATGAGAAGAGAGAGCAAGGCTTTTCTCTTCATGCTCAGTCACCAGAGCAGAAGCCAATGCTCAACACCCTGGACTCTGTCCAGAAGGAACCCAGAAGTTCATTTGGAAAGGGAACTTACAGCAACTTAGAAGTGGTGTTCATCTTTGTTATGTTGGCTTGGGTCAATGCTCTGACCAATGCAGTGCTCCCCTCAATTCAGTCTTACTCCTGTCTGCCTTATGGAAACACAGCCTACCATCTGGCTGCCACCATGGCTGCTGTTGCTAACCCTTTCGCCTGCTTCATTGCCATGTTTATGTCAATAAGGTGAGAAAACCTTTCAACAAGTGGTGCTCACATTCTTAGGTATGGAAATGTATGTTGAATCAAAGAAGTAATGTTATTTCAAAGCAGTGTAAAGTCACTATTGGAGATAATTAAAAGTACTCATGAATACTCACATTGCAATTTATTTAGAAGTTTTACCACTTATACTATTCTTCCCTCCCAGGTCTCTTGCTTTTATGAGTCTTTTGACCATTGTTGGTACTGGTTTTGGAGCCTACATCATGGCCATGGCTGCTCTGAGCCCCTGTCCATTGCTGGTGAACACTACCTCTGGAACTTTTATAATAGTAAGACAGTTTTTTTACTCTTTTTTACATATATACTTCAAAAAATCTTCAGTTTTTGCAAATAGCCTAAATTTCTTTAAAACTGTGCAAACCCTTATGAAAGAATGAACAAATCACCTACAGTATATCACACTCAAGTTTTGTGTTCCCATACAATTTTTATTTTGAATCTGTAAATTTCCACATTCAAATTGCAAAAATTTCTCAATTAAGATACACTATTTTTTTGTCTCAGGACTAACACTTTATTATTTATTATTATAAAACAGAACTACAGAACTTGTATCACTTAAACTGACTTTGCTTCTGTTTAGAAAAAAATCCAATTTCAGAATGATCATGGCAATCAAATCAGAACAAGTTACTTTCCGACTTCTTTGTGTTTTAATAGAGATCCAAGATTATTTGTATAATTAGACATTATTTGAACATTTACTTAAACTGTAAAACAACTTTGACTGTGTGTGTGTAAGTGTGTGCTAGTGTATGTGTATTTATGTATGTATATATCATACATACATACATAAGCTCGGTTCTGACGTGAAAGTTAAGTATTTATACTGAGGTTTTCCATTCTATGAAGCAACTCTGTTGTCCTCTATCCACATTTTTTGTTGCAGGCTGAGTCATTTCTACATTCTCCTTTTTGTCAAGGCAATCTGGTTTCGTTTAAAAGGGCTGACTGTCAGATATTGTCCAAGAATAACCTTCAGGGTGGATAAGAGCTTGCACAGCCTTGCACCCGAAAACCTAGTGAACATAATTTACCCAGTATACTTTGCCACATTAATAAAATGGCAGCATCCATGAGACAATATATTTTTTAATTTATGAAAACTAAATAGCCTACAGCATTTTTACAGTCTTTGTTTTGCAGTTGAAGTAAATGTTTCTCATGTTACAAGTAATCATGGATCCCTTTAAGGAGCATATATAAAAATCAGCCACAATATTGACTTTCTGCTTCCTTCAGGTGCTGACCTGGATCCTGTTTGTTCTGTTGCTGTCTTATGTGAAGGTTATCATCGGTGTGATTCTGAGAGATGAAGGTCACAGCGCTCTTGTGTGGTGTGGTGCTGTGGTGCAGCTGGGCTCAATGCTTGGTGCTGTATCCATGTTTCCGCTAGTCAGTGTCTATGGACTTTTCAAGTCAGGTGATGCTTGCAACACCAAGTGTCCATTGTAGACAACATATTGTACATGTTGAAGTGCAACACTGATGTACAAAATTTAGAATAAATTGCACTTATTTTTGTTACAAAGAACTCAATACAGCAATCAGCTTACATTCCAACGTGTTGAGGATGAATGAAGGACACTCCTCATTTGTGGCATTTGGTTTGTTTTTATTTATTGACTATGGAGTAAGAAGCTACAATCAAGCAATCAATAAATATATACATTCAGCAAATATGTTAATTTCTTCAGATTACAAAAGATTTAACCTGAAAGTACTTTATGAACATGTTACAATTTCTTGCACAGCTGAAAAACACATTACTTGAAATTTCAGGATGCCGTAAATGTAAATTGATCAACACTTCTGGCTTGAAAATGTGCCTTGATTTTGAACAATAAAAACATCCACTTCGTCTTTGTTATGGGTAGACCTGTTTTAACTTGCTTTGTTTATGTTACTGGAACTTTTCTAAATTAAATGTTATTTTGGTTGATTCTGTAGACCTAGTTTTCTTTAGTGCCAGTCTTCTATCTTGAAGTCTTCAGCATTTTTACCTGAACTGGTGGTGCTGACAAAACAAACAAACAACAAAACCAGTTCAAAGTTTTGCAACTCACATAAGTTCTAATTTTGGTTTAAAATGATTTAAGGTCATCTTTTAGCTTAATACAACTTTTGTGCATGAGAGCTAATTAATTAGGATCCACTAAATATAATAAATCTAAATCCAGCAAAACCATGAAAAATAAATAAAATGATACAACTGCATTTCTATTTTGTAGGTTTTTGCAATTTTTTGTGGGGGTGGATGGGTGGGGGGCTTCTCATCCACATTAATTTCTCCTTAAAAAACCTGGAGAGTTTTCAGTTCCCTGTTTTAGACATGAACCATCTGTGTAGGAGAACACTTTCAATGCATAAATAAGAACATTAATATTTAGTACTTGTCTGCATTGTGTTTAGATTACTGATAGCTCTAGTTTATTTATCCTTAGCTCAGATTTATGCATTGGAATCTGGGTTCATTGCACAGTTTAGTAACACACAAGAATGAGGACACAGTCCTTTTAGTTTACGTGGTTTTATTACAAAAGTGGATATTTACAAACTATTTACAAACCAAGCAATGCATTATGAGTATGATGGTTCCAGTTGTTTATGGAGATCAGAGTAAGTGATGAAAGATTGCAAAGTCTAAAATACAGGTTTTAGATTAATACAGTATGAATGAAGAGGAGTGAAAACCTTATGCTGTCTAACTGAAAGTAAATCAGGATTAAAGGTTTATTCAAATAATATAGCAAAACAAAGAGTACTGGAATAACAGGTTTATCTGTTAATAACCCAGAACAAATGTAATTTTGACACCAAATCAAGAGCAATCAAGGATCTGGAGATTTGACTCTCAGGAGGTTCTCCCCACTAATGTGTGCAGTCGCTGAACCAGGCAGGAGGAGCTGAAGAGTGGACGTTACACATTCACGGGTAGGACTCCCATGGACGCATGAAAGACCTTGACTCAGCATGCATTCACACGTCACTGAATTTGAGATAGTACAGCACCATCTAATGAAACTACAGTGGAGTCCATATTTTACAGTCTTATTTAAAGTGGACTGCACCTCTTGAATCTGAGGTTCGACAATCAATAGGAGCTTCCCTTCCAACAAACTGGAGTAAACTTTCCCAGGGAGGGTGAGGATTTGATCCCACGATAGTCGGAACACACTCTCTGTTTCCTCTTTTTAAAAATGGGAACCACCACCATGGTCTGCCTCTCCAAAGGAGTGCTGACGGTATACATCGCATCTGACCTTGATGGTCCTCCCCACAGGTGGTGGGTCCACGTGGAGGTGGCCTCCTGTAGTCCATTTCAGGCTTGGCCCAGGCGAGCCCCAGGAGCCAGAGCTCAACTAGCAGGCCTGGCTTCAGGGAGGTGCCCCACTTTCCCTATCCAGGGTGAGGTTTCCTAATGTGACTGATGTTCCATTTGATCAAGGACTCTAAATCACTCTTTGTCTCGTTCATTTGATTGGCAGCTCAGAAACGTAAAATAGGTGTGTTGACTTTAACTCCTGTATTGCCTAGGTCTTTTTAAAACTCACAAGATGGCAAGAACATATACTTGTGGACAAAACTGTTTATACCCCTTGTTTAATGAAGGAAACTGACAAAATAATAATATAAAAATTCTATAAGTCATACAACAGGCCTGGACAGAAATGATGGTACCCCTGAATATAATGTGACCAAAGGGATGTTAAATCAAGGCGTGTTCACCAATTAGCATCACAGGTGTCTACAATCTTGTAATTACTGTGCTGTTTGGTGATCTGGTGTTTACCACACATGGATCAGAGAATGGCCTTGTGTTTCAAGCACAATAGTGACATTTGCTGGTGGTTTTATGTACTACAATTGAAGTGAATAAAATTGACAACTTCATTTAAATCATGAGTCTGCGTTGCATTCATACCATTTTCATTAAAGCTCACGCTCTCCAATTAAACCTGTGTTTTTGTTGTTTATATCAAAATTGAAAGGAGGATATTACAATAAACATGACCTAATAATAATGTAATAATGTGGTGTCACTATTTAAAAAACAATAGTGACACCTTGTTCTGTTGGACTGTAAATATCAATATTATTCCATGAATTATTCTTTTCATTTTATCTGAGAACTCATAACTTTATGCTATGATGTCAAGATTATAAATCATATAAGAAGAGGCTTTGAGTAACATTCAAAGATTTTTTTTATTAAAAAAAACATTTTTATTGTTTTTGGCTTCAATTTGCTCCTCTTCTGGCTCACTACCACTCCAGCTTTAGAAAAGATCACTCACAAGGCACAGATGTTGCTGGCATAAGCAAATATTGTTTTGCTAGTTTGTTCAAATGAAGGGCTTTGGGCCCAGTATGCAAGTGGGTTTTCTCCTCTGGACAGGTACAGCTCTGACAAATAATGTTGAACTTCAGCTGTTGCATCTGCACTAACAGTGAGTGGCACCTAAAAAGAAAAAAAATGTATTTAGTCAAATCCACAGGATTAAATAATGCATCAGATCCAGGTGGCTCTGACACAGACTGAAAATTGAATATAGTATTTTTTTAATGTATATAGTATAGTAAATAGTATACTGTTTGCACAAATAGTAAATAGATGTTTACCTATGATGATGCTTCTTCCCTCTCCAGCTTCATCACATTTGACATAACTGGAACAATTTGCTCATGAGAAGTGGGCCAAAATACCTGCTGAGAGGTGCAGAAGTCTCGTTGAGAGTTACAGGAATTGTTTGATTGCAGAGATTGCCTCAAAATGCTGTGGAACAAAATATTAAGTTAAGGGTACCATCATTTCTGTCCAGGCCTATTTAATTAGTTTTTATTTTTTATTTAGTCAGATTCTAGTCATTTCTGTGACCATTGTGGGCTTTTCTTTCATTACATTAGGGGTGCCAACAATTTTGTCCATGTCTGTATATCTGTCCTGGCTCAACAACTAAAGGTGGAAACAAAGGACTCATAAAAAGGGTTATATTGCAAAGATGGTGGCACCCAAGTTGTCCATTTTTTTGATAGGAAATGAGAGGGAGAGGCAGGTGTTGACTGAAGCACGAGCAACTGAGAACATTTAGTTACCAAGTTATTAACAAAAACAAAGTCCAAAAAAGAACAAAATAATAAAAACTCATTACAAAAATAGAAAAAAAGCCACAACAACAACAAAAAAGAAAAAAATGTACAAATTTTTACAGTTGTACAACAAAAAATCACAAACAAGGACAAAGACTCAAACAGGAACATTGACCGTTTGGACAAACCCCTTCAGCAACACATTGCCATGAAAAAACTCAATAAAATTCACAGGTAAATACTTTGTCATTTCTGTAGAACTAAAAAACTTTACCTGAACTATTAGAAACAGTGTCCATACACGTAAATAATTTACATTCAATTTTCTCATTTCTTTTTGTAAAATGTATATCAAATCACAAATAGTTATTTTATTTCTAAAATGACCAAATGGGCTCTGATGACCAGAAGAAAGCCATGAGTGAAGATTAATTGCACATTTTCATTTATTAAAATACACAAACTCTTTTGTTTTATTTTACCAAAGCATTCCATTCAAGATTTTTTAAAGAATACATTACAGAAAAGACAGGCACAAATAAACCCATCTTATCCAATTTTGAGGTTAAATATGTATTCATTGTATTGAAAATTAATGGTAAATGACCTAAAGAAAGGCAGTCTAAGGTATTAGAAAACATGATAAAATGTTCTAAACAGTAGGTTATTAAATAAACTGAAATAATTTATTTAATGTCAAATCAAATGCATGATAGTGCTTTTTAAAGAAAACTGTTTTTCTGCATCAAACTTTCCTGCACATCCTGAAACGTGACACTAGATGTCAGTGAAATAAAGTTAATCAACAGGAACTCACTCAGCACCAAGTGTGAAGAGTTGTGCTGCTGCACTGATTCAAAGTGAGTTACAAAAATAATTTAACTGAACTCAATTTACTATCAGAAAGAAATATTTTGTGACCTACTACGAATTGATCTCAGATACTTTTAGATTACATAAAAACACCAGCTCTTAAGAATTAGTTTTCTTTTTGATTGTCTTCATTTTGGGGTTTTCCTGGAAAAAAAATCAAATAAAAGAAATGTTCATTGTTAATGCAAGTGTGGGTTTCTACAATATTTTTTCTTTGGTCTCTAAAGGTATGTGTGTATCATTTCCATTGACCACTAAATCAGAGGCTATTGTGGGCACATGTGTCTGTGTTTTCTGGAAGGATACTTCCACCAGTCTATGAAGACAAAAAAGAATGAGGAACTCATGACCAGTCAGAGTCTGATTCAGATCCCAGAGAACATCTGGGGTCATCTGGTGTCTCATACCTGACCCACGCTCTTTATGACCTCCTGTGGATTTAGTGACTTTTGGTGAACTAAGTTTAAAAGCAGCATATCTGCTCGAATAAAAGAAACACATAAAAACAGAGAACCATTCCAGTCAGTTTTAAGGTTTGATCTGAAGACACTTTAACAGATCCCCTTAAGTTAGAAAAATTGTATTCAGAGGACTTTAGCAACACAAAGAGTGTGTTTTTTCTTATCTCGTTGACTTAGCCTCTCCTGCAACCACTAGTATGACATCTCTTTTTCCCCAAGCTCCTTGTCTTCATTTATTTGCGCATACGGGAGACGTTGTGACTGTAATTTCAATTTAAAACACATGAGGGTGGAAATCCTAGCCCGTGCTGCTCTTTAATGGGCCGTCATGGGATTGGAGTATGCAGAGAATGATTGAATTTTGTGAGAAGGCCAGGAACGATCAAGTCTCGCCTGCTGTTATGCAATCGACCATTCCCCGCTCCCAACGCAACGTCTGGTAAAACCTAGTACAGTTAAAGGAGGAAGAGTTGGAGCAGGAGGAGGGGAAGGACTAAAAGCTGGAAATGACAACGTCTGGAC